AAGCACGGGCCTAGCCTCCGATTCAGGTTCGGAATGAGATTCAGTTTCAGTTTCAGTTTGAGTGCAAGTTGTCGTTCTTCCAGTTCAGCAACAGCAACAGAAACACATATCCATCTTCATCAGTTTTCAGTTTATAGAGGAGAGGTTCAAGGCCCCGCAAATTGTCGCTCGTTCAATGCAATGGCAGCCGCTAACCATCCATCAATTAAGCAAAGCAACCTTGATAAATCGCAGAACAAACAACAGCCCCCTGAAACACCCCCCAATAACCAAAAAACAAAAAAAAGCGCATTAAGGGGCTAGCTAGCGTTAAATTTGAACATGGCTCTTTGACGCCAAATCATTATTTCGTGGCTGTAGTTTCGTTTTTCCTTTTTTTTTTATTTGTCACAAAGCCCCGCAAACTTGTTTCCATTTTTATGTTTTCTGCCAGCTTAAAGCTAAAGGCATTTGTTCGAGTTATTTTGTCTGGCTGCCATTAGATTCGGTTTTCAGTGCATTGCTACACAGTGCCCACAATGTAGCCGGGTGTGCAGAAACCAAATAGAGGTGAAGTACCGAAAACAATATTGGTGTTAAGCTTCCTCATCAGTCTGATGGCTGCACAGCGAGAAAAGATTTTATTGGTTTTGGAATTTATTTTAAATAATATCTTGCTTGTTCCTTGAAATTGTTTTTCAACTTCTGTAATTTATTTGTTTTATAGATTTCTAAACCACTTAAAAAAAGTTGGTAATAATGTAAGTTTGATTTTTAGGTAATTAGTTTAAAATTCTTTTCTTTTTTTACAATCCATACTCCTTCTATAGATTCTTAAAAAAATCGTTCAGAATGCTTGTGATTAAATATGATAATATTTTGGTTTAATTTATAAAAATCAAAGAAATATTTTTAAATAGTTATTTTAAAATTTCTTTTCTTTTCAAAATCCTTATTCATTATATAAATTCTTAAAAATAAATTTAGGACAGTTAGAAATTAAAATTGATATTATTTTTTTTATTATTTAACAATTTACAAATTTCAAAATTCCTCTAAATAAAATATTAACTAGTAATCTAATTGTTTCCTGTGTGCATTTCAACCGATATTTCGGCATAACCTTGTGCTGGGAGATCGGCACTCCAGCCGTTTTGATCTGTCGCTTCGGTGGCAGATGTGTCTTGAGTTATGATAGGTGATTGGCGGCGATTTGTCTTGGTTTTTGGTTTCTGGTGAAGGTGCCTGCCAGGCTGACGCATTATCGATCGGTTTATGAGAGGCTACCCCAAGTGTTTCTAGTGTTTCGAAATTTAGAATGTCTTGTATCGTTTTACAAATTGAAGAGCTTAAGTGATTTGTACATTTTTTAAACGGCACCAAAGAGCTCTTAAGTATTGACATCTTGCAAGCTGATATGCAAAAAAGAATCTATATCTGTTTAGCTTTCTCTCGCCCCACTAACATCACGTTTCCCATGCCAAAAACAAATACTTCTCATTAATGAAATCTTTGAATTTGCATACTTTCCCAGGCAAACGAATAGAAAAGCAGTATGATTATGCACTTTGATTAATTGCCACACTGTTCCCATGCTATTTCGGATTTCTGATTTCTGAGAGAGAAGTTCAGCCCAAGTCAAGTCCATATCCATAACAAAAGAATAATAAACAATAATCGATGGCCAAAAAAGTGATTTGCAAATCGCAAAACCAACCGAAAAAAATTATAAGCAAACCAGACGTGGGAGTCAATCAGTCGCACAAACAAAAAAGAAACAAAAAATTGCCAGAATAAAAAGAAATCAGAAAAAATTAATAAATAAGTAGACATCATGTTGATTTCAATTACGCTGCCAAAATGCGCATTTATTTTGCTGCTCAATGGGGTTAATGAAATTTCAAATCTTTTCAAAAGCAAATTTCTTGTTTTTCTCTACATACTATTATTATGACTCTGCGTAGATCTCATGGTGAGTAGGTGGATTCTATTTCTATGGAGGGCATTGTTCAGCCATCGAAATTGTTCCCAGGGCAAACTTGACCTTTTTGCAGTACTCACTACTTAAATACTGAGATGCTGAGTCTGTTGAATCTGCTAAAATTGCTGATTTCACTCGCTCGGACACAACATGCAAGGGGCGTGGTCGGCTTTTAATTAACACGAAAAATTGGCAAATTAAATACTTGTACTTTGCTCGCGAGCAAACTCGATAAACTAAATGACTCGAGACGGTTACAGAAGCTAAAGGCAGCATCTCGACAGTTGCGCAATACAGATTCAGATAAACTCGGCTTCTGGACTAGATTCTAAGTTTTTCAAGGGGATAACTGAATGATTTCTCATATGTAGTATAACAATTTTAATTGGATTTTTATTACATCTAAAAAAAAAAAATATCTTGTTTACCTTTGCTTAAAGTTACTCATTATTATATAGATATATTTAAATTCTTTGTTTTGATTTGACAATTCTAAATGATTAAAATAAATTCTGAATTTTTCAAACATTTTAATATTAAAATTTTTTATTTTGTTGCAAACGATTTATTGTTTTAAAATTAATAATATAAATTAATTTTTAAAAAAATGTTCCTTCCAAAGAATTACCGACTTGTAATAATTTCATTATTTTCATTAACGGTTTCCCACAATTTTCTGTTCTTTTTTGTAATATATTTTTGCGACCCAAAAGAATGTTAAAGTTCGCTCAACTCCAAAGTGTAACCAATTGTGACAATGGTATCTCGGGGAGATCTCCCCGAAAACGTTTCGGCAAAGTCATTCATTCTGTACATTCCAAAGGGGCTGCCAGTTTTTTTTCTGGGCTGGAGATCTACATCACCATAAATATGTCCCAGGGAAGGCTTGAGGGCACCAAAGTGTTTGCCAGTTGGGCATTTCTGGTTTTTATTCAGTTGGCAAACTGGCCAGTTGATTGACTCCATCTCGATAGCAGAGGCTCATTGAATTTCTGGCATTTTGGGCGTTTGAGTTTCGCAAAGAAAAATGGAAAATAACGTAAAGAGCGGGGCGAAAAAACCTTCGAGACGTAATAACTTGCATTTTGAGTAGGGCACTTAATGCGTCTCTCGGTTTTTTTTTCAGCTTAAGTTAAGACCGACTAACCTGGGCGCTAATCATAAATCTCAACGCAACTGCAAGTCAAGACGCCTAATCAACGGTTACGGACCCAAAAGTTAATGCCTGTCAGGCAGTTAAGTGTCTTGAACTTTTAGCCAGGAATGTTGTGAAAATGAAAATGGGAAAAATAAATAAATCGAAACGAATCAAACAGCGAATCGAGTTAAATCAATTCCAGCCCAAACAATGGTAGCCCAAATGCTATGGTCAAGACAATGGTTTTGACTGTGTTTTTGATTTTTTTTATTTTTTGTTAAGAGGTCAATGTGCTACCGTTAGCGTTGAAAATGATTTCGGAGCGTGGCCAAAGTTGCATTTGATTGTTTTGTAAACAAACCGAAATCGGCCGTTAATTTGTATAATTTTGCTTTGTTTCTTTCTGCATAAAATCAGCATTAATTCATGGATGTAATGTATGATTTGTCAATTTTGTTGGACCCATAATTTGAATAATAATAGAAAAACTCCAGCTGATAAATTGCAGGCCCTAAACAGTTGTTGAAAGAAAAACCTAATATAATATTGAAACTTAAAACCAAATGATTAAAGCATCTCCATTTCGTTTCGAGGAAGTCATTTAAATTAACAAATTGCATATTAATATGATTATGCTTAAGCTGCGGGCTCTTTGTCTTTTTGCGGCAAATCGCCAAAAACAAAATTATAAAAATAATCGAACACGTTAATTACTTAAATGATGTTGCACAAATATTTTTGTTGTTTTTGCTGACTGGCTGGCGTATTTTGACAATTAATGAAGCTGATTTCTCTCAGGCCAGCACAGAGTATTTTCATTTCCGGTGAGACATCCACTCGGCAGCTAAACAAAATGTACAAATAAGAGCCGGAAAAAAACAAACTTGGCACAGAACAATGCGTACGAAATAAATAAGAAAAAGAATCATACATAAGAATTGACATCCAACCGCACTCACATGGCAAATTGTGGGTCAATGCCTTTGTCAATTGCAATTTCTGTGTGTTTTTTATGAAGAAAGAGTGGTTTTTATGTGGTTTGCCCTTGGCGGTGCAGCAGAGATTATGGGAATCCGCCATGTATCCGATAACATTGTGTGGTTTATTAATATTAAACAAATATGATGTAAAAGGTGGAAATGAGCTAGGAAAAGCGCTGGAATAAATTTCTAATGAAGTTGCATAAGTTTCTAAATCGGAGTTGCCTAACAACATCTAAAAGCCTCTAGTTATTTTTTGTAGATTTAAATGATCTTATGATTTATGATTATTTTGATCTGTTTTTTTTTTAAACTTTAAAGTCTTTAGAATCTAACAAGTTATTCTTATTTATTGTTTATTATTTACAGAACAAACAGATTATAGATTCTCAGAAAATTATAAGCTAGTTTAGAGTAAATCCCTACCTTTTCGAGAACCCTAATTAATTTTTGATAAATCGGTTTTTATTATATTCATAATTTTCTAAGAATTTGTTTATGCCTCATAATATGTATAAAGCTTTTGGAATGTTGTGAATAAATTCTAATTTATTTTAAAGAAAGCCACATTTTATTATATATATAAATAAAATAATTTTATTTTCTTCCCATCTTAAAAGGCAAAGGGGGTCCAATGACACGAATGCCTGGGATTGCTCATGCGTTGATGCGAAATTTATGCAGTTGCTAAGAGTGTGTGTCAATTGTCGTTGAGGATGATCGTGCTGGCGATTTAATTATACCAAAAATTATGTGAGAGCAAACACAGAATCGAGAAATGCATAAATACGTGCATTGATTACCCTCAAAACACAAAACACGAGGCAATCGAATCACCACGTATTTGAACTCAATTACGGTACGGAAATCATCAAAAAAAATTACAAGAATAAATAAATAATAATCAATGCGAAATACTTACCATTTTGTGGCGATTTGATGTGGTCAAATGAAACCCGAAACTTCTAAGTCGTTTAACTGGAAAAATATTAGTTGGATTATTGAAAGTTAATATTTGATTTTTTACTACAATCACTTTTTAATTTGTTGCACTTGAAGTTTTTGCATAACACAGAAAGTTGTTCAACTGTCCTCTAGAAAAAATCTATTTGTTATTGATTAAAACCGATCAACTGGTCAGCCTCAAATGGAAAATCAGAAATCAGAAGTCACTTCCATTAACAATCAGGTAGAGCGTATAGCCTATATACACCTCGGGGTTTACATATATATAGAGTAATTGTAGACGACTCTGGCATATCGGATGACGTGTGTGGGACTCTGACAATATCAAATCAGATTTAAGGTAAATATCAAATGGAATGGTCCGCTCATTATGCAACCCCCTTACTTAGTTGGACCCTAGTGAATGGTTACTTTTGGCGGTGATTGTGTCGGCGGCGAGCGTGATGACGATGACTTTTGGCGTCTGCGTCTCAATTGCCAAGTGTCCATGGCAGCATTTTGGCTTTGTGGCGCTGCGATCGAGATCGAGATTCGTTCCACACATGGGCAGCCTGATAAAAGGGTTTATAGTCTACGAATCTGCGATACGAAGGGGGTGTAGCTCACGAACTGCCGCGCATGCGTAAGCAATGGAACCAATTTAAATGACCATTTACCATTTTTTCGCGAAAATCTTAGGTACGGTTAATTTTCAATTGCCTTTGGCGTGGCTTTTCGGTCTTTTCGCTCTGTTTTTGGCCACATAGTGTCGCAAAGTTTTCAGCCAAATGCGAGCCACATGCCACGCATTTTAAGTCCAGCTATTTGCCATCGTAAATATCCGAGGAAGAAGGCGTGCCTAAAAACAAATAGAAGCCGGCCCATGTCACGGCTAACAGTTGGAACGTGACTATGTTTAGACGGACTCTCAGATTTTAGGCGTCAAAACTGGAGGTCACCCCCTCGAAACCCCCACTTTACCAAGTAGAATCTCGAAAACCCGTTTCCTAAGCCTGTAATCGTAAAGCCCGCAGATCAGGTGACCTTAAATGTTTCAGCCAATTTAAGGAACCATGATATGTGCATAAATTAAGCATTTAACTTTTATAGAGCCGACAAACTAGTCGGGGAAGAAGACGCTCTCAAGACCAGAGACAAGTGACAGAATGCGAAACCAATTTGCGCAAATTAACAAGGTTTTATAATCATTGGCAACACCCAGCTGCAAGTACCCCCAATTATCTGAGCGAACATTTCCGGCACATTAAACGGAAAAAACTATGCGAGAGTTGGCTGCCCATGATAATAATAATAATATAATATGCGGCCTGTTCAAAAACTCATTTCCAAGTTGTTGCATTTAAAGAGGCCATAAGCGTTTTTTCCCTTCCTTTTTTATTTTATTTTTTCGGTTAAGAGAGAGAAAAGTCATGGGCGAGGTTTAATTTATGGCAGCTCGGGAAACAGATTTTTCTCTAGATTGGTTATGCATATTATTTGTTGTACTTTTTTGGTTATTTTGACAAATGCCTTAAAGTGTTTGGTGCGTGCAAAACGGCGGAACGCCTTCAATTTTATTTATCTTCGCTGGAATTGATTTATTTATTTGCATAAATTTAACACGCCTGCGACAGCAGCTGCGCAGCCTGCAGGCTATAAATTGTCTGCATTGCAGCACGCAAGTTCGTTGCCTGAGTCTTTTGTTTTTTAACGATCCTTTTTTTATGTTTATTTTTATTTTCATGTTTATTTTCGTATCTTTCTTGCACTTAACAAAGAACTTCACAACACACGTAGATGGTAATTTATTTTAGCATGTTTGCCTCATCAATTGACACTGCACATACTTTGCTGCTGCTGACTGCTGGATCTCTGGAGGATATATATGATATGGTATATAGGGATATCTCGAACCGCTGTGTTTTTGCGCTAAAGCGTGACAAAACTCATTGAAGACACGGGCCACACTGAAAGCAGCGAATGTGGTAGCATCAGCACAAAGTCTCCGTCTCCCGATTTGTCGGCCTCATCAGCTGGTTTTTGCGAGTCAGCTCCGAACCAGGCCCGAACCCCAAAAGCCGAGCCAAGTCCGAACTCCAACTCGGCTTTGTTTTCTATATTTTCAGCGGTAGCGGTGTTTTTCTCGCCTTTTTTCACCAGCCAGCCAGTCGGCCAACTTGGGGGCTAGGGCTTGTTTCCGGCTTTTGGATTCTTGAGGGGATACATGTCGAATACTCGATATTAATGAGTGCATTTAACTTGGAAATACCTAAGTATTACATGAGGTCTACTAATTCTATTTTTACGACCTATGTTTTTCTTTAAATTTAATTGAATTCTTGAAATTCCTAATGATTCCTAGTGATTATTGAGTCAATAAAACTAAGTACCCGCATTTAACTTATAAAACTTTTTATTAAATTGACCAGATTGCTCAATTGCTTTAAGCTTAGAAAATCTTTTAAGAGTAAAATAAGTAAATTTCAAATAAAAATAGCATAGTTGCCTTGGGATTTTTTCAATCATCTAAATAAATATATTTTTTGATTTCATCATAAACATTGATTAAGTTCATTCCAATTTTAATTATAAAACATTTGTCTTCTTCAATCAAAAATAATTAAATATTCCGACATATGTTTAATAAATCCAAGCTAATTTATATCGTTTCCGTTTTTCATTTTAATGACCCAACATTGTGTTTGTTTTTCGAACGGGCTTACAATCCAGAACTGAACAAATATTTTGCTGTACCTAATTATTCATTAATAATTTATTAATGATTTGTTTAACTTAGAAATATTCAATGAATTAAGCAAATGGCTTTAATGCGTTTACTAATGGTTATTGAAGTAATTCAATTATAATGAATAAATATAATAAATGTATTTTTATAAATACAGGGAAAATGCATTATTTATATAAATGTTAATTAATTAGCATTTATTTGAAAGGCTTTTATGAGTTATTTGTTGACAGAAATAACTTAATTCTGTTCTCTATAATATGTAAACTTTCGGTTTCGTTGGGAATCGGGTTTTTACTAGTAGGCCTACGTGGAGGTTGGGCATCCCTGACCTCTTTCAACAAATCACTCGCTGATAACACACATATACGTAAGAGATTTTACCCGAGCCACACTGAACCACAATTGAATATGGCATTACAGAGAGCGATTACGTGAGCGACATTGAAATCGGATATAGTCTCATATAGTCTGAGGCGACTGAGCTCTTTACGCATGAGCTGAAGGCTGGCGTATTTTAATTTCTTTTATTAAACACTTCAATAGCCCCCACAACGAAGTGGTTGTCCCCATCAATTTGATTGGATGTCAACCGAGTTTGATTTTATTGGCTGTCCAAGTTAATGAGACCCCAGACGAAACAAAAACACAAATACATCCAATACTCGTTATAATTATCGGCCGCCTTATGTTAATGCAAAATACATTTAATTTAATTGAATTTTATGGGTTCACAATGTGTCGCTTAATGGAAGATCTGTTTCAGTTTCCTCATTAAGTCATTAAATTATGCTAAGTGATTCTGGGGCGATTTCGGCCTTTTGCCTTCTGCGGCAAAGATAGTTCAGGTCAATTAAATTGTAAATGCAATTAAAAAGCCATATCAATCAGTTCGCCCATCGATTAGCATACACAAGTTTTTCCAATTATGTGTGTGTCTGTGTATTTAAGTTCGAATAGTAAATCAACAGAAATGTCTGTTAAGATCACATTGGTCTGACAAGTTGCCTTTGGTATGATATGGTAAGATATACTGAAAGAAATCCTCTGCATTTGCGGTTTTTTTGTGAAAAGTGGACTCTGAAGGATTATTTCGATTTTATTTTATTTATCTGTTGAATAAATCTAAAAAATATCGAATTTTAGGGGATTTTCAATCTATTTGAAACCTTTCTATCCTCTAAATATATCCCATGGTAAAACAAAGGTACTGAAATAAATCCTCTACACTTAGAGTGTTTTTATAAAAAGGGTTCATAACTCTAATGAATTTATATAGAATAGATCTATTAAAAAATCTCAAAATATATAGAATTTTTGGAATACTTTAAATACGTTTAATAATTTTATATATTGTATTTTAAAAATATATCCTATCAAAACTGGGCTTATATAGTTTGTAGTATTTTATACAACTAACCACATATTTCTCCCTCTGTACGTCGTTGTTCAGTAAAGTGTGTGGTGCAGTGGGGCGGTGATGGTGGCTGGTTGGGCTGTCTTGGAACTGTCTTTGGTCTGCTCTGATCATTGCTGGGCAAAACAGGTCTTTCAAAAGATTATTATCGCTTTTATGGTGTTTTTATCGTTTTTACAGCATTTTTTATGTCTTTATGATTGATCTGATGAAGTTTTTAGTTTTTGTTCGCTATTTTTTCGGGACTAAACTGCTGCTGGTCTTTTACTGACTTTTTTTTTTGGTGAGAGTGTGGGAGAATTTTGCTAGCCGAACTAATCTGATGTGATAATTTTAATTTTGATAAATTACTATTGAAAGTGAGCGGCTAATATATGGTACTTTTTTTTAGAGCAGTGCGCCATGGATTGGAGTGGATTAGACGGCGGAAACTGGGTTAGGAACCAAACCGTTATCGGGCGGCCCAGCCCAACTCCACCCAGTTCTTAAGAAAGACACGGCTCATATTTCTGGTTTCTGGACTCGCAACTTCGAATTAATCTGTCAACGGCTATCGACGGCCGATCTGAGAACAGCTACCCGGTTACCCTGTGCCCCATATGCAGTTACAGATGAATTAAACATGAGCCCATATGATCTCGATCTGACTCGATCCTAACCGCGTGGCAGCCACCAAGTTTCGCATTGTTTTCCCCCACCTGTCATAATCCATACACGGGGACATCTAACGAATGCCACCTAGACGTCAGCCTACGAATTCTCGTATGCAAATGCTGAATGCTGAAATATTGATATTGAACGCCTGACTGACGCAGCAGATACGAAGTGCAGTGGAAAAAATATATAAGTGGGTAACTATATAAAAAAAGAAGGTATAACAAATTAAAGGTAACAAAATAAATATTTGAATATTTTCTATAATATTTGTAAAATATAATATAATTGGTATCCAATAATTTAGCATTATAGAAGTCCGAGAAATTGTAATAGAATTTTTAAATCAACATTTTCTTTATCGTTTTATAAAGAAATTATTTGTAAGGACATTACGCATCTTGGTAATCAAAAAAGTCCCTACAAGTATCATTCCAGCAATACAACCATTAAAACATTTATTAAATATAATATAATTGATATTCAATAATTAAGCTTTTCAGAAGGCAGAGAAAGTTTAATAGAAATTATAAATAAACAAATTCGATATTTAGATAATTTTCCAAGAAAATTAGTTTTATGGACGTTACGCATCTTGGTAATTATATACTCCTCGCTTGTGTCATTCCAAAAATGAGCTTATTTTTTCGCATGTACCCATATGCCAGAACCCAAGCGAGATACGGGGGCAATCGGCCGCAAAAAGTCACAGCCAATAACCCAACTCAATGCCTTCGGAACGGAGCGGATCGGAGTGAATCGGTTGGAATGAGTGCGGGTTCATTTATCTTTATTAGGAATGGCAATTGGCAACGCTGCAGATAACAGACAAAAGGCAAATTATGGTGGTGGGGGTGGTGGGGAGCCCCCCGCGATTACCAGTCATTTGTAATATCTCCCGAGCCGATACGCTCATTTAAGTTAGTTATTTATGTAACATAACACATTTCCAATGTTACCAATAAAACAAGATTTCTAAATGGTCCCGCAGCACTTTGCATTTGCACACAATTAAGTGCAATAACTTATGATAAATTGCCATTTAATCAGAAGAATAAAATGTACAAAGACCGAACCCAAGCAATTTCTTTCTTTTTAATTAACAATATGCTAATCGGTGGGGCTCCCTTTTTCAGGTTCAGGTTCAAGAAACACTGGAACTAATTTGCAGATCGGCAAAAGAAGGAATTATTATCGGGATTTGCCAATAAAAATAATCCCCACAAAAGCTGTCAAGTGTCGATTGTATAGAGACGGCATCGGGCGTATCGGATATGATTGAACGTATAATTAATGGCAGGGGATTAGCGACAAGTACAAGCCGCACTGGATGCTGGATGGATGCTGTACCGCCGCGGGCAGCAAATTAATCAGCATCGGTAGACGAAACCGGGTGTGTGGGTGGGTGTGTGTCTAGATCGAGATACACAGAAAAATAAATCGATATGAAATAGGGTCAATTCTACCTAATTTCATATCAAATTTATGATTCAAACATATCAATATGATATTTTATCCATATCCAAATGTAGTATTTTTTGAACAAATAATGTAAAATAAATTCAAAATAATCCTAATTCATATCATTTTGATAATGTAATTTCTAAAATATATAAAATTGACCAGCACAAATAAGTTTGATATTTTGTCAATTTTCAAGTGTACCTAGCTATACAAAGCTGGTTCTGAAAGGAGTTTGTCATGGAGTCACTCAAAGCTACTCCAACCAATATCTCCATCAAGGCCAAAACAGTTGTTGTCGAATCCAAATTCGATATCCTTGCCAGCGAACTGCGGGTTGAACAAATCCACGCACATACCTAATATTTGTGTATTAATTCCATAACCTGTTCAGCATTAAAGTTCATTGTGGCTATATAACCATATGCAAAACACCAGCTGGGGGCTAACGACCTGCTTGCTCGACTCTAAATATACTCTGCCGTGCATATTTCCGACTAAAATTAGCGCTTCATTCAAAAAAACACATGTTTAATATTCATATAAGCATAACAATGACAAAGAAAACTAAAAGGAAAATGCATTTCCAAGACAGGAAAACAAACAGCGGCACACGACATACACGATACGATACAAAACCATTATAAAGAAGACAAAGACAAAGAAGGATTTAAAGTGATTTACAGGCTAAGACAATGGCAAATTCTAC